CAATTTTTTGATGATTTTTCGACCATTTTGGAGCATGTTTTGGGTACTTTTTATTTTTCGTCGAAAATCCTCCTGTATGGGAGACACGCCCGACTGAAGCCTAGTAGGAATGCCAGGACGGTCGGTCCCTGCTCAGTGCCTCGTCGTCGCCATGGGCCCCCGCATGGTGCGGGCGGTCGTTCTCGCGAGCCAGGCCCTCGGCCGGGCCCACCCCTGGAGCGCTTGGCGGCCCTGTCGCCGCCAGTCGGGCGGGGCTGCAGGGGCCCGAGGCCCCGCGGCCTTGGCTGCACTGACACGCACGTCCTGAAGCGCAGCACGTGCCGTGCTCAAGGCGTCCGTGTGCGCACGCTGCGTGTTGGCTCGACGATCCCCCTGGGCTTCGCCCACTCGGGCCGCCTGAGGCCCCGCCTTCCTGTACCCTGTCTCCCTAATTAAAGCTGTGCGTAGCCCGCCTAGCTTTTAGCGGAAGAGGTTCGCGCTCGCCCCGCAGATCAAAAGTGTTGGCTCGACGTGTGGGCCGACGTTTTGGCGGTCGCCTCGCGCCTCGCGTACGTTTCCGGTCTGCGTGTTGAGCTCCGTGTCGACACGCCCCGTGTTGCGTGTTGCGTATGGTGGCAGCTGAGGATCGGGGGCGGGCGAGGGCGGGGGGGGGGCAGTGAGAAGGGGCGAACCTTCTCGGAAGGCTCGGAAGTCCCGGCCTTCGGAGGAGTCTTCGAGGCCTTCCCTGAAGACGCTTTGCGACGGAAAGCGTGACGTTCCCACGCCAAACACCGATGGACGTCCTGGGGTCCCAGGGTTGGGTTTCTTGTGGAAGGTCTCTTGTGGTCGGGCCCCTGCTGTACCCATCTGGGGGGTGGTACGATCTGAGCGGTGCCAGCCCCGCTGCTCGGCGGACGCGCGCGCAGACCGCAGAGAAGCAAAGGAGGAGGAGGAGGAGGAGGAGGAGGAGGAGGAGGAGGAGGAGGAGGAAAAGGAGGAGGAGGAGGAGGAGGAGGAGGAGGAGGAGGAGGAGGAGGAGGAGGACGAGAAGGAGGAGGAGAGGAGGAGGAGGAGGAGTCTTTGACACAACGGTCCCAAAACGGTTCAATGACATAAAGTGCGGTGACCTTGAACCCCCCCCAAAGACCTCAACCGCACGGCCCGTCGCCGCTGCACCGTTGTTGGGCCCCTCGGAGGCACCCGTCGCCCTAAAGATCTCCCTGGAAAACGGCAGGCGCGACGCATCGGACGACTCGAGGCGGACGACGTGAGTTCAGGCCAGACATGCCGTGGCATCGGTCTCGAGAGGGGCGCCCGGCCGTCCCGAGGAGGTCGCCCTCCACGCGCAAAGGGGGTGGGGGGGGGAGGACTTTTTAGAAACACCCCTGCTTCTTAGAAGGCGCGGGCCTTATCTTTTGATGTAAGGCCGGCGCCTTCTAAGAAGCAGCCTCCTTCTAAGTAGCCTTCCCCCTCCCTCCACCCACTTGTGCTCGCCGCCAATCCTCTGCCCCCCCCCAGCGAGAGAGGGGCGAAGGTTCGCTTCGGCGGCGCGCGAGGGGGGGAAGTGCGAAGGAGGAGGCCCTTCCAGAAGGCGGCGGGGCTTCTCAGAAGCCCTCGTGCCTTCTGAGATTTGTTTTGTCCTCGGAGAAGGCTTAGGAAGCTTCTCAGAAGGCCGGGGGAGGACCTCCGAACCTTCTGAGACGGCCTTCTCCTTTTCACTTCCCCCCCTCGCTCGCCGCCGACCGTTGGGGTGCGCAGACTGGGGGGACGAGAGATGTGGGTGCAGCAAGGGCCCAGAAAGGGGGCCTTGTGGACCCGAAAAGGATACCTCTTTCTTTTTTCGTTTATCGCCCCCCAGGAATTCGCGCCCAGCTTCGAGCGTCGAGGCGCTCGGGGCGATTTTCGTCGGCTCTTGGTGGTTTTCCACCATCGGGGCGCCTCCCGGCGGCTGCGCCTCGCCGAGATCGTTCTGGGGGTGCCCAGGTCAGCCCGAACGGCCACGGGAGGGCTATGGCGGCACGAGATGAGGAAACTCCCAACTCTTCTGCTCTATTCGTTTTTCGTTTTCGTTCTCTGAACTATTAACTTCCCGCCGCGCTGATTAGTTTTTGCGTCGTCGCGTTTCTTGCTAACTAACTTCCTGTGAGAGTCCTTCGTTCTTCGTTTTCTAGCTCACATGTATGTTTGCGCTTCGTTTTTTATTTCCTCGTTAGAGTCGCACGTACAAGGGCCTGTTGGGGCTTCAACCGATTTGTAGACATATGGTACCACGTTTGGACATGCTCGAAATGGGGGCCCGCTCGCATAGTAGACACTGTCAAAGTACACGTTCGTACGAATAGTTCCTACGCGCACGATGGTCATCTTACGTGCGCCATGTGCGCGAGGTCGTTTCGTCCATGAGGCGAACGACGCCTCACAGCGTTGACCGCCGCCTCTCTTGATGATTGATGTGCGCGAAATTCGTTCCTATGTTTTTCTAGGGTAAAGGCTTAGTGCTCATTCCAAGGTTCTTCCAGCGTGTTTTTTCCCGCAGGCAGTCATTTGCAGCTTTGAGGAGTGTGGGGGGGCAGTGCCACTGCCGCGCAGGCTCAGCCGCGGGTGCCAAGCATCGGGCTCATCAGTTCCCCACCAAGGCCGAACCCTTTTCCGGCAGTTCCTCGCGTTGCTCACTCTTGGAGCTTTCCTGCGAATCTGCACCACAAGAGTCACCCCCGCCACCGCCTCTCTTCGGCTGCTATTGCCACGCGGGGGAAACCTCATGGTCCCAATTTGCAGGCCAATCCAAAGGCGGCGCCTGCGCTACTTTGCCGAGGTATTGGTGCAAGCCTTGCTGCCACTCCTGCGCCCTCGGAAGAGGGCCGCCTTTATTCGGAGGTCCACAAATTGGAGGCGGTGGCCAGGAGAGCCCCAACGACTCTGTCAAGTCTGTGCGGGCGTCTGCCTGGTCTTTCTTGGCCAACTCTGCGTCGGCTCTGCTGGTCTTATATTCCTCGGCCTCGGCCGCGATCTTCTTGAAGGCGTTCTCGGGCAAAAGCGGTTTGACCTCGAGTTGTTTCTGCTTCTTTGCAGTCGACTCTTGCAGTGCAGACTCGTCGAAAAGCTCCAGGAGTTGGCCCTCTGTGTTCTTCGCCAGAGCTAAAGAATTTCTACGCGGAGGGCGCGAAAGTTTGGCCATCATGTCTCGAGCCCACGCGTTTCCAGGACACGTTGGGGACGCCATCCCTTCGTTTTTGTAATTAACTTGTGTATTACGGGTTCGGCTCAATTTCGTTTGAGTTTTCTTAACCAACTATTTGTCGGGCCGCCACGGTCGTCGTTCGCTTTGTTAACTAACCTGCTGGGGGGAGGGCTCGTCGTTTTCAGTTTCGTTTTCTCGTATCGCCGGGAGAGTAAGCTATGACCCGAACACCAGTCGGATTACGTGCAATGGAAGGCGGATCGAAGAAAACATGTCGGCGTAGACAAGAGCATTCGGAGCTCCGCGCGGAGTCCTTGGAGCGGCGCTTGGACCCCCTGGCGGCGCTTGCGGCGACGCCCCTCGCGCGCTCCGCGCGCCATGGATGGGGGTCCAGCGCTGGCGCAAGAAATCTGGGCGGACCTTCGAACGTCTTTGGCACTGCAGGTTTTCTTCTTATCTTATAATCGTCGTCGTCGGTCGACGGTGGAGGATGGAGGTTCGAGGTTTCTGAGCGTCTTTGGCCTTCCAGAGGCCTTCAGGACCTCCCGGGATCTGATTATACGGGATGCTCCGGAGACCTCCCTAGGAGCTGAGCGACAGAGACCACGGCTGCGTGGTCACGGTGCGCAGGATCCAGCACCTCGGCTTCGGAGCTGGAGAGGTGCTCAGGGACTACTTCCAGGCGTTCGGTGCGGTGGACAGCTTAGCCGTCATCGGTCTTCTGGAGCCCCTCTAGTGGGGCCCTCTTGGGGACATCGGTCCCTCTTGGGGCCATCTTGGAAGCCATCGATGACAGATGGCTGCGCCCCGCTGGCGGTGCCGACCAACACTGCATCGGGGGCACTGGGGCCCGTGGAAGCTTGCGTTACGTCGGGCATGTCCCTCTACAGGAGGCAAATTCAGAAATAGTCAAAGATAGTCTGGGGACGATGTTTTTTTTTTTTTTTTTTTTTTTTTTTTTTTTTTTGTGAATAGTTATGAATCTTTTTTGACTGCTGATTATTTTTCCTCCGAGCTCGGCCTGTAGGAGGACATGCCTGGCCTACAGCTTGCGCCGGCATCCCAGCCGCGCTGGCTGTGCAGGATTGCGAAGGCGGCCGGTGCCGCCGACCCTGAATGGCGACGACGACGAAGATGACGACGACGACGCGCTGGCTGTGCAGGATTTCTTCCCATCCAGCGGGCCGGGGTGATGATTAGGGGGGGGATATCATGGCGGGGGCCATGAGATCTCCCCAACCATCATCTTGGCCTGCTAGATGGGGTCGGAGTAGATGTGGTCGGAGGATCGCGCCGCATCGGCGATGCATCGGCGGTGCGGCTCGATGTGGGGCCCAATTTTCTTCACGCCGGCGTCGCCGATGTATCGCCGACGCCGCCACTGCATGGCCGATGCATGATGCATCGGCGATGCATCGCCGATGCATCGGCGATGCGGCGAGATCCTCCGACCCCACCTACTCGGACCCCATCTCGGCGGCCTCTACATCATGGCGCCTCTTCTTATTTCAATGCGTCCCCGGCCCCCCCAGGGGTCTTTGTCGGGGGCGGCCACGAAGGGGGTGATGACTAGGGGGGGAGGGGGGATATCATGGCGGGGGCCATGAGATCTCCCCAAACATCATGGCGCCTCTGCTCATTTCAATGCGTCCCCGGCCCCCCCTGGGCCGCGCACGTGCCGCCGAGCATGATTTTGCGCACCCCCCCTAGTTGGCCACCCCCGACTGGAGGCCGACGGAGGTTCCCCAGGGGGGCGGGAGGCCCCTGGAGGCCCCCACCCCACCCCAAGCTGTTGGAGCGCGTCGAGCCACAAGTCGGGTATGTCCCTCTAGAGGAGGAGCATTCAAGTCGAGCCAAGGGGCGGTCCTCGGCCTCCTCCACCAGCGCCGCTGCGGTCGGCGGGGGACCGAGGTGGAGACCGTGCTGATACCGCGGTCGCACGTGCGCTCGATCTTCCTGGTCTCGGGGCAGAAGAGGCGTCAGGCGACGGCACTCGAGCCGCCCTTGCGTCGAGGCAGACGAGGAGGGGCGCCGGGAGGCGGAGAAGGAGGGAAGAGGAGTGGAGAGAAGGAGGAGGAGAAGGAGGAGGAGGAGGAGGAGGAGGGAGGAGGAGGAGGGAGGGAGGAGGAGGAGGAGGAGGAGGAGAGGAGGAGGGGGAGGAGGAGGAGGGGAGAGGAGGAGGAGGAGGAGGAGGAGGAGGAGGAGGAGGAGGAGGAGGAGGAGGAGGAGGAGGATGGAAAGTGGAGGAGGGGGCAAAAGCGGAACGGTGATGGGGACTTGCCCCCCTCCCCACCCTCGCCTTCTCCCCCATCCTCCTCCTTTCCCCTTTCCGCCTCCGCCTCGCTCCCCCGGCCTCCTCGTCAGGGTTCTCCTCCTCTTCCTCCTCCTCCTCCTCCTCCTGTTTCCTGCACTTCCTCGAGGGCGGAGGCCATGGCTGAGGAGGGGGCGTCTCCAGGCGACGGTCCGCGAGCGGCCCGCCCACCTGGGCTTCGTCGTCATGGAGACGGGGGGCCGGGCGGGAGGCCCCCCAATGGGTGCGGCCAGGGGCTGCTTGGCGGGACGAGGGGGAGGGGGAGGGGGACGAGGAGGGGGAAGGGGACGAGGAGGAGGAGGTGGAGGAGGGGGAGGAGGATGATGATGAGGAGGAGGATGAGGAGGAGGATGAGGATGAGGATGAGGATGAGGATGACGATTCTGATGATGATGATGATGATGATGATGATGATGATGATGATGATGATGATGCAGCTGCTGCTGATGATGATGATGACGATGATGATGATGCTGATGATGATGCTGCTGATGATGACGATGATGATTGATGATTATGATGATGATGCTGATGATGATGTTGCTGCTGATGCTGATGCTGATGCTGCTGATGATGATGATGCTGATGCTGATGCTGATGAGGATGAGAGTGAGGGTGAGGATGAGGATGGGGAGGATGACGATGCTGATGATGATGATGATGATGGTGATGATGATGATGGTGATGATGATGATGATGATGATGATGATGATGAGGATGCTGATGCTGCTGATGATGGTGATGATGATGATGCTTTTGATGATGATGATGATGATGATAATGATGATGATGATGATGATGATGATGCTGATGATGCTGATGATAATGATGATGATGATGATGATGATGATGATGATGATGATGATGATGATGATGATGATGATGATGATGATGATGAGGATGAGGAGGAGGAGGAGGAGGAGGAGGAGGAGGAGGAGGAGGAGGAGGTCGATGAGGAGGGGGAGGGGACAGACGGGGAGGGGAAGGGGGGGCGAGAACGCTGATGGTGATGATGGTGCTACGTACCCACTTTGGCAGTACGTAAGTCCAGACTTCCTGGTCTGCAGTTACTGTGGCACAAAGACGACTCAGCATTTTCGTGAGGCCGCGTGCCTCACTGGGGCTCGTTTTCAGAGCAGTCAAATTTCTCGCCCTCACGCTGAACTCGTTGATTCACCGAGATTTAGATGACAGCTTAGGCAGCGCTCGCTGGACGCCCTTCAGGTCAGAAACGTCTGCTTGGCCTGTCGTTCCGCTTGTTCTGGCCTACCACCCTGACGACGACGAAGCCGACGGCGACAGCGACGGCGACGGCGATGACGGCCTCCGCCACCACGACTTTGTCTTCGGGGTCCTCAGAGTTTCCATAGATCCCCAGAGGCCTCTGGAGGCCCGAGGAGGTCAAGAAGTGTAGACAAACTTCCCTCCTCGATCCTCGGCCGACGACGACGACGACGACGACGACGGTGACGACGACGGGGACGACGACGGCGACGACGACGTGGATGCCGACGGCGGACGACGATCGACGACGGCGGCGAACGACGCACAACAAGCCGCGCCACGACAACGACGCCGACGAGGCCGACGGCGCACGACGAGCGACGGCGACAGCGAAACGCGCATGACCTCGCTCCTCGACCCTCGATCCTCGGGCCTTGGCCGATGTCGGCCCACGGCGGCGGTGGCGGCGACGGCGGCGAGGCCGGACCCCGCATCACGAGCGCCACGGCGCCGGCGGGCGACGGCGGACGGCCTCTGGCTGCGCCAGGAGAGCGCGTCTGGCGTGGAGGCCGCCCTCGCGGCCGGCGCCGCCCACGCGATCGGGGGCTCGGCGGCGAGGGGGGCCCTGCGGGCAAAAGCCTCCCGCCCCACCGATTCCGCCTCCTCATCGCAGTGTCGTCGTATTCCTCCTCCTCCTCGTCTTCGGGGAGCAAGAAGTCAGGGCTCGAGCGAAGCGGTGTTTTGGCGATTTCGTGGACCGTTTTCGTCTTGATCTTGTCGCGCAGCTAAGGCAGAAGGGGTACAAGACGAAGGATAATGACAGTACGACGAAAGCGAAACGTCTTGTTTAGCTTGAGCCCGGCAAGAAGTCATGTTAGTGATAAGCTCCAAGACTTCTCATCTCGTCCCACGGCGTCCTGCTGCTCCGCGCGGGCTCCCGGGAGGCGAGGGGCCTGCCAGACATTCGCGTGGCATTCCTGGGGCGTGTCCCGCGCCAGCCGTCGCACGACATCATCCTCGTCCTGTCCTCGCCGCCCCCCCCCCCCCCCACGCCTGCAGAGTGCTGAGCGAATCAGTGCGTAGGCTTTTCGCCTTGCTCGGCCTCTGGGGGGGCTCGGCGGCGGGGGGGATCTGTGATCAGAGAACTTCCCCCGCCCCCTCCGCCCGCTCGTCTCAGGTCGGAGCAAGTGGGGTGGGGGGGGGTATGGCACCAAGGGCGCCCTCGAGGGCGCGAAGTTATTCGCGCTTCGCGCTTCGCGGTTCGGCTCCGATTCCTCCTCATCCTCCTCTCCTCCCCTGGGAGGCGGCGCGAGAGCGCGAAGTTATTCGCACTTCGCGCTTCGCGCAGCGCGAAGCACGAAGTTGGGAGCCCTTGGGCACGGCGGGCGGTTCAACATGGATCATTGGACAACTCTGATTTCTGGACTCCCTCAGTGCGTTCCGGCGTGCTCGCTGCTGCATTCCCTTTGAGATTAAGTCTCACGCTCAAGCGTTCTGGGGTTGCGGCCAAACCGGCCTCCCAACAACAACAACACCAACAACAACAACACCACCAACAACAACAACACCAACATCATCACCAACAACAGCACCAACAGCAGTAACAACAACATGATCATCAACAACAGCAACAACAACATCGACAGCACCACCACCACCAACAACACCACCAACAACACCACGAACAACAATTACAACAACACCAACAGCACCAACAGCCACAACAGCAACAGCAACAGCAACACCGACAACAACAGCGCCAGCAACACCAGCAACGACAGCAACAATCATGATTCTAAGACTTTTCGCTTCTATCATCTCGCGTGCCATTCCACACGTATCCCCCAAACGCTCGATACCTGCCCTCTTCGTCTTCGATCGTGCCCCAATTAGGGATACTCTGAATTGCCTGCAGCGTGTATTTCGTGCAGCCCCTAAGACAGGGGAAGAGAGGACGGATGGAAGGAAGGGACAAGGGGGAGGGAGGAGGATGGAGCACGACAGAGAGAGAGAGAGAGAGAGTAGCAGGAGATGGGGCTAGTAGCAGAAAGCACGTGGCAGAACCATACTGGCAGATCGAACGGGTAGACCCTAACGGGCGGATCGGGAAGGCTGGCCCAGGCGGTCAGATCGAGCAGGCGGGTTGCTGAAGCGTGCGTCCTGTATGAATCGCGAGCAAGTCTTGAACGGTAGCGCGATTCCCAAATACATCTGGAGGATTAGATCCATAGCGAGAGCGTGATTTCTGAGTGTCGAAGGCGCGGCGTCTGAATAGATTGCGACGACGTCTTACGCGAGAGCGCGATTCCTGTATAATGTGTAAGCAAGTCCCTCGCGAGAGCGCAATTGTGGAATAATTTGTGAGGATGTATCAGGCGAGAGCCGCTGTTGTTGTGAAATGGGGGCCAGGGGCACAGTTTGGTGACACCTCACTTTCCATTATCAGAAACAGGTGTCTTCAGGCGAATGTGCGCGCCGCTTATATGAGAGAGGCAGTTTTAACAAGGATCTTCCCGCCATGCGCGCAGGCGTTGAGTTCAGTCAAGAAGAAGGTGCACGGCGTTAAGGCGATGTGTGTAGTTTGAAAACAACCCAGCCTCAATCCGAGTAGCGAGGGGACACATGTTCACTTGAGGGGCGCTACGGCGAGAACCTCATGCCTTACACCCGTGTTGCTGTTGGAATGTTGGAGCTTCAGAGTCATGCGGGTGAGGACGTTTGAGGCGAAAGGCCGGGCACGCCCGCCATACCACCGTGTCTGGTGGTACGACGAGAGGGGGGATACATTTTAAGAAAGGATGAATGATCAGGAGAATGGGGAGGATGAGGAGAAAAGAGGGCAGCAGCGGGAGATGGCTACGAGTGAGGAGGGACGAGAAGGAAGGGGTAGGATGAGGATGGGAAAGGAGGAGGAGGTGGAGGAGGAGGAGGAGGAGGAGGAGGAGTTGGAGGAGAAGGAGGGCGAGAAGGAGTGGGAGAAGTAGGAGGACGATCAGTGTACACCCAAGACTCATCAATGATGTTGATCTACACCCTCCCTCCAAGTTCCGTCCTTCGCAGGTCCCTACAAAGGTTCATTTTAACTGAGGGCAGTGTCCCGCTGGAAGACAACTTCGTGAAAATCCCAACCGTGCCAAAACACAATTCTTGGGACATCAACTCCGCGAATCATTGTAACAGATGTGTCCTGAAGATCCTGCATCGGGCCAGAACAACATTACTGGGACAGCAACACCGCGAATCAACGTGGCTGTTGCACCCTGACGGTCCTACATCGTGCCAAAACACAACTTCTGAGACGTCAGCCATAAGACGCTGCAAACTCTTAAGAGGAATGTGCCAGGCGCTGAGCCGAGAGCAACATTTTCAAAAAACCGGCCTCCAATCGTGAATTCTTTTGCACACCTTTATAAGGAGGAGGTGGAGGAGGAGGATGAGGACGAGGATATGTGTACCTATACGTCCACCCTTCGGGTGATAAGGAGGTTGGGGGGGGGGAGGGGGGGGGAACCAACATCTGATTCAATTGATCTCACTATCGATCTCACTCAACGGGGCACCACGGGACACCACGGGACACCTCGGGCGGGACACCTGGCGATCTCACTATCGGTCTCAGTATCGATCTCACTATCGATCCCACTCAACGGGGCACCATAGGACACCACGGGACACCACGGGACACCTCGGGACACCACATCGATCTCACTATCGACCTCACTATCGATCTCACTATCGATCTCACTCAACGGGACACCACTCGACACCACGGGAGACCTGTTGATCTCACTATCGATCTCACTATCGATGCCACTTTTTGGGGCACCACGAGGCAACTCGGGGCACCACATCGATCTCAATATCGATCTCAGTATCGATTTCACTATCGATCTCACTATCGATCTCACGATCGATCTCACTATCGATCTCACTCAACGGGACACCACGGGACACCACGGGACACCACGGGACACCGCGGGACACCGCTAGGGCCACCGCCGGACGGCCGGACGGACGGACGGACGGGCGGGGGAGCAACATCTGTTTTGACTTCGCCCGAGCAAAGGCGGGTTCATTCCTCTCGCGCGCCCACGCAGCTTCGCCTCGCCCGCACGCACGACACGAACGAACCGAACCGATTTCCCCGTTGGGGGTCTCCGTTCCACTGCGATCTCACCCCCCAACCTCCGATGATCATCCGTATGAGGATGAGGAGGAGTGATGACGCATGGGATGTGGGGGGTGGTGCTGTTGGTGGGGGTCGCGAGGGGCCTCTGAGGTGGTCAACCTGGAGCTCTTCGACGCTGCCCGCTGGAAGGCCAGCTCTGGCACGGACCAGAAGTGAGATGTCGACGGCTGCCAGGGGAAGGCCAGCACCGCCCCGCCCCAGCGCGCCCCGAGATCAGCCCCCTACCTGCAGAAGCTGCCACGGGCTCGTGGCCGCCCCGCGCGCTCGGCAGCTGTGTATGATAGGCCTGTCTTCCACCACCACCACCATGAATTGGAGGGGGGAGGAGGTGGAGGACGAGGAGGAGGAGGACGAGGAGGAGGAGGAGGAGGAGGAGGAGGAGGAGGAGGAGGAAGAGGAGGACCCCCTCCCCCTCCAGTTCATGGTGGTGGTGGTGAGAAGCAGGCTCAGCAGTGTGTGCAGGCGTGGCTCCCGGTGGCCGGGGCCCGGGACGGGCGCGGCGCCCCGGCAGGGCTTGCCGCCGGAGCTCGCGCGTCCCTTCCTGGCACGGGCCTCTGGCCCGCCTCCCGCCTCGCGCGGCGTGGTGCCGTTTATGCCTCCTGGGCCTTCGCTTGAGTCGGGCCTGTCCCTCTACATGGGGGAGTGTTCAGAAATAGTCCAAACATCGTCTGGGGACTATTTTTTTGGAGTATTGTTGGACATCTTTGGGGCATGTTTGGAGTATTTTTTATTTTTCGTCCAACATCCCCCTGTAGGGGGACAGGCCCGACATCAGCCTTCGCGCGCTTTCCCCCTCCTGCCTGCCCTCCCCCTGCCCCCGGGCATCATGCCAGTGCTGCTCCTCCCCTTCCTTCCCCCTGCCTCCTGCCAGCCTCCTCCCCGCCGGCCCTGTCAGAGCTCACTCCTCGCCACATCCCTCCTGCCTCGTCTGTCCGCCCTCCTTCCTGCTTCTCCCTCCTCCCTCTTCCTCCTTCCTCCTCTGCACTGCCTCGTAGGTCCAGGGCTGCAGTGTGAGCAACGTGCTCCATATCCTCCGTGTGCTGTTTACGTCCCACACGCGTTGCCTTGGATGCCACTGTGCTCGAGGCCTTTTTCAAGGGCTGAGACTTGGGTAAAGGCTCGACATGATCGCAGCTCCCCTCTCACCTCCCTCGTACCCCACCCCCTCTCGTGTAGGCGTGCCTGAATCGAATCACACCGCGGCCCATGCGCGCGTAAGTCTGCCTTTCCTTCTCGCGCCTGCAGGCACGGCCGCGGGGGACAAAGGCTCGGCAGCTGCGTGCGTGGGCCCGCTGGCTTGCCGGAGGACACTTTGCGTACCTCCCGAGCTGCTCCGCCCACGCGTGCGCGAGCGCCATCTGTATACTCTGCGGGCGCCCCCCGCGCGACGGCTCGCGCAGGCCCGCTGGCGGCCCCCGGCCGCTGCCCGCGACATCGGCCCTGGGCCGATCCGAGGCGCGCGCCGCCTCGACGCGCGGGCGACGCTAGCGCGGGCGTTCGGGGCGGAGCGCGACGGTGGATTTCTTTGAGCGGCGGGTGCAGCCCACCCCCACAGTAGTGCCCTTGCATCCCCCCCCCTTCGGCCCATCCCTGGCCGCGCTCGCTGGCCTCGCCCCGCTCGCGGAGCGTCGTCGTGCGGCCGTCCGGGGCCCATGGCATCCTCGTCGTTGTGACACGTTGTTGTGCATCCTTCTGATACGGGTGGACTGCGCAAGAGTCTGGACGGTGAGCAGCATTGCAAGGGTGAAGTAGGCACTGCGTGCATGCACGGCGCAAACGCCCGACCTGAACACACGACGTGCAGAGCATTTGTTTTTCCTCTCTCTCTCTCTCGCTGAGTGTGTGTGTGTGTGTGTGCGCGGGGAAATACATGCTGCGTAAGTGCATTACGCAAACATGCGCTCCCGGGGCGTTCCCGAGGCGCTCTCGCGGCGCTCCTGGGATGCTCCCAGTGGATGTTCCCGGGGTGCTCCTGGGATGCTCCTGGGGTGTTCCCGCCTGACTACCGCTTCCTCTGGGCCTCCCAAGAGCCCACGAAGGTGGCAACGGTTGCGCAGCTGGCAGCGGGGAGCCGCGAGGTCTTGCCTGACTGCCGCCTCCGCTGGACCCCAACGGACTCCCACGAAAGTGGCGACGGTTGCGCAGTCCGCAGCCTCCCAGGGAGCCGCGAGGTCTCGACCGACTACCGCCTCCGCTGGACCTCCCAGGAATCCACGAAAATGGCGACTGTTGCACACTTCACTTCTAAGTGGGAGGCACAGAGAAGGAGGAGGCATGAGGAGGGAGGAGGCGGGAGGAAGGAAGGAGGGAAGCAGATGAGCGAGCAGTGCTCCACTCAAAACGAGAACCCAACACGGGAGGGTTGGGAACAAAGCTTCGCGCAAACGTGGGACCTTCCCAAGTTGCCATGCTGTCCAAGCAACTTTTGGTTTGGCCTTTGAAGTGTTTGGCCACGCGGCTTTGACTTTTTTTGTGCGGTGGCCTCCCCTGCGCGCGAGATGTCTCTTCAGATGCGTCGTCGAACCGTCTGGCGCTGGGCGCTGGGCTCCACAAAGCAAAAGTCGCGCGGACGCCAGATTCTTCCCGATTGCAGCGGTGTCTCGCCATTTCTTCATTGCTTTTTTGGAATTTCTTACCACGAAGCGTTGAACTTCTTGTTGCTTTTGGGGGCGGCCTCTCATGCGCGCGGGACGTCTTTGCTGCTGCGTCGTCGCTGAGCTCCGCAAAAAAAAGCTTCGCGCTATACGCTCACCGCGGCGTGAACAGCACGCCTGGCGGGGGCGGCTTCGAGAAGCGACCGGACGAATCGCACTCTTCGCGAGCTCTCCAAACAAGCAGTTGCCGAAGCCTGGTGCGTTCCGAAGTGGGTCCGCATTCTTCGGACTGCGTGTTTGGAGATCGACAATCACGCCTTGCGCAGTTGGTCAGGATAGCGACTGGACGGATCAATCCAGCCGCGAGTTCTCTGACGGCGTTGCTCCGCGAATGCGCTACAGTGGAGACCCACGCCAAGAAACACCGCGAAGGCGCTGCGCACGTAAGTACAGTACAGTCAGCCTGCACAGTAAGGATGGGCAACCTTCCCAAGGGTGCCCCCCTTTCATCCTTGCCCCTTTGGCCCATCCTCAGCGACTTTCGCTGACCAGCCTCGTTCGGAAAACGTTAACACGGGCCTCCAAGGCCTTTGCACCCTTACCGCGCATCCTTTTGATACGGGTTGACTGTGCCCTGCGCAAGTGCGCAAATGCACTATGTACATTAACTGCGCAGAAGCACTGCGCGAGGACGAGCGCGGCGCTCGCCGGCGGTGTTACCGGGGTGCCCACGCTCCTGTCGCGGAGACAGCGACAGCGCCGACGTGGGTGCTGACGGTAGGGGCGCAGCTGAGAGCGACTGCGATGATCACCACGATGCGCGGGGTTCCACGAGACGCTGACGACGACCCTGCGCGAATGCACTGGACGAGTACTCTGCGCGAGTGCACTGTGCGAGTACACCACGCGAGTGCACGACGCGAACACGCTGCGCCAGTACGCTACGCAAGTACACTACGTGACGCACCGGGCGAGCACACCACGCCAGCACGCTACGCAAATGCATTACGCAAGTACACCACGCGAAGACACCGTGCAAGAACGCTGCGCACTTGCGCCACGTGAAGATACCACGCCAGCACAGCACATAAGTACAACACCTGAATACACCACGTGAACACACCACGCATAGTCACAAGGTGCGTACTTACACGACGTACATACACCACTCACTGAGCTCTACGTGCGGACACGACGCAACTATGCTACAAGCACATCCTGCGTGAGTGCACAACGCAAACACACCACCGCGCATTTGCTTTCCATGAGCACGCAGCGTGAGCACACTGCGTACTCACACTGCGCAAGTTCACTGCGTACACACACGACGCCACGCCTAGCGGACATACACTACGTAAGTGCACCACGTCGTGTCTTTGCGCAGCGCTGCCTACGTATTGCAGATTGCATTGACGTCAGCTACAGCATACCCCGAGGATATCAAGTCTCTCCCGAAGAGACCCCGCGGTGGCCCGCCTCGCCCCCCCCCCTGGGACCAACAGGAAGTAACCTCCGCGGAACGGCATCCACCCGACGGGTGGGATCGAGAGCCGGGTCGGACGGAAGGGGGGGGGGAAAGGAGGGGCTTAGGAGAAGGAGGAGGGAGAGAGGGGGAGGAGGAGGAGGAGGAGGAGGAGGAGGAGGGAGAGAGGAGGAGGAGGAGGAGGAGGAGGAGGAGGAGGATAGGAGGAGGAGGAGGAGGAGGAGGAGGAGGAGGAGGAGGAGGAGGAGGAGGAGGAGGAGGAGGAGGAGGAGGAGGAGGAGAGAGGAGGAGGGGAGGAGGAGGAGGAGAGGAGGAGGAGGAGGAGGAGGAGGAGGAGGAGGAGGAGGAGGAGGAGGGGGAGGAGGAGGAGGAGGAGGAGGAGGAGGAGGAGGAGGAGGAGGAGGAGGAGGAGGAGGAGGAGGAGGAGGAGGAGGATGGGGAGGAGGGAAAGCTCAACGGGGGGCTACGAACAACGGCCATATACATGCAGCTGGCTTCGGCCCCGCCGCTGGGCGCCCTCTCCTCCGTGCACGGGCGCATCCAGACGCAGGGAGAGCCGGCCACGCCGGCGGGTCCCCTGACCCCCCTTCTACTACCTCCCCCCTTTGATGGGCCCTCCGTAGCCATTTTGGCTCAAGATGATTGGTTCCCCTGGGGACCGCACGGATACCGCTAGTCCGCGGCCAGACCACCGTTCGCCTTCACCGTGGGAGTTGGGCGCCCACACCCAGTCCTTTCCAGATCGCGCTGCCACGGCCCACCGTGTGTGCTGCTGCCTGGTGTCGTGGAGATGCCACCGCCGCATTACCGTTCGGAGCAGGCGCTTCCTTGGTACTGCAAGAGCTGCTGCGGGCCCTCGGGGAGACCGTGGTGGAATCATGCAGAGGCGCGGCAGTGTGCGAAGTGCAAGCTGGGCAAGGGACTGGTCTTCCACAGCGTGCGCCAGCCCGCGGCCCCCTCCCAGCGGAAGAAGGGCAATCAGGGCGGCAGCGGCAACGGCTACTGGGACGACTCCGTCAAGGTGGCCAAGCTCAAGTCCGAGCTCGCCGAGGCCCGCAAGCGGCTTGCCGCTGTGCAGAGGCCGCCGCCTGGCGGGGAGGACGTGCAGATGGAGCCGGCCGCGGACGGAGACGGCCCCGAGTCCGTCGCCAAGGACAGGCTACGCGAGGTCGGCGACCTCATCGGCAAGCTCAAGGGCATCACCGAGCCGTCGGTCGTGGCCACGCGCGACAAGCTGCTGGCCGAGCAGGCCGAGCTGCGGGCTAGGGTGGCGGAGTCCCGACCGCTCGGACAGCGCTTGCGCGAGATGGGAACTCAGTTCACCAGGCTGCAGAAGCTGCGCGACGACCAGCAGACCAAGCTCGATGGGCTGCAGGCGCAGTTGCGCGACCTGCAGGAGAAGGAACGGCTCACTCGGGACAAGCTGGCGGCCCTCGACGCTAGCATGGAGGAGCTGGACCAGGAGCGCAAGAGGCTTCAAGGGCAGGTTCCGACGCCTGGCGACAAGGCGTCGCTCGACGAGCCGATCAAGGGGGTTGGTGCCACGCTCGAGGGCCTCGGGATCTTGCTCCAGAGCCTGGGCGCCGATCACCAGCTGTCGGGCAGCCTCACGGCGAGCTTCCAGGAGCTGCAGAGGTTGCAGGAGGAGGAGGCGGCAAAGTTGGCTGCCCAGAAGGCGCAGGCGGATGCTGGGGCCGAGGCTGGTCCCGACGTCGAGCAGGCCGAGCGGCAGGACGACGCGGCAGCGCCTCGCACACCACAGCCATCTGCCTTCTCCGACGACCCTGAGTTCATGGAGGAAGTCGTTGCGGCTGGGGGCGAGAAGCACAGGCTGGAGGAGATCTTCATGCGTTGGGGTGCCAAGGTCAAGAGGCCCAGGCTCACCCCTGCCTAGCATGGCTCCACGGCGATGTTTTGCGTGTCTTGTGTGGTTCGTCCTCCTTTGTCGCACCATGGCGTCGGTTTCAAGTATCACCACCGTGAACGTGTCCTCGGGCGGCCCGCTCGTCGACTTCCTGCCCACGTGCTCGAGTTTATGCATCGCGGTGCAGGAACATCATGCCAAGGCCGAGGGCGATGCTTTGGCGAAGTTGCAGAATAAAGTAAGAGCTGCTGGGTACCATGGTATATGGGAGCCCGCCCTACCTGGGCAGGGAGTTGGCAGCAGAGGCGGGGTTGCGGTGCTGGCCCCGCTGCGGGTGGTCATCACCAAACCCCCAGGCCTGGACAGTCACGTGCTGCAGGAAGGCAGGATGATGGCGGCCCACGTCCACGCTGGGGTGAAGGGCGGCTTCGTCATGCTGTCGTGCTATTTCATTGTGGACGTCAAGCTGTCGCCCGAGAACCTGGCCATGCTGTACAAGCTGTACCAGTATGTCAGGTCGCTGGAGGCCATGGGTGTTCCGTGGATCGTAGGAGGCGACTTCAACATGGAGGTAGGCGAGCTCGGCCCGTTGTCCTGGCTCCAGTCGGCCAATGGCGTGGTGCTGGCGCCGAGAGAGCCGACTTGTCTTCAGAGCCTTCCTGGCCGCACCATTGA